CCTGATTTTGGCTCAGGTCATGATCTCACAGTTCTGGAGTTCAAGCCTCACATCGGGATCTGCACTGACAGTGTGGACCCTGCTTGGGATTCTCACCCCCCTCTCTCTCTCTCTCTGCCTCTCTCTGCCCCTCCCTTGCTGATGCTCTGTCTCTCCTTCCCTCTCTCTCTCTCAAAATAAAAATTTTTAAAAGTAAAAATGCACATCAAAGCCACAATAATACCACTGCACACCTACAAGGATGGCTATAATAATAATAATAATAATAATAATAATAATAAAGCAGAGGCACCCAGGAGGCTCACTTGGTTAAGCATCCAACTCTTGATCTCTGCTTGGGTATTGAAAAAAAGCAGAACATGACAAGAATTGGCAAGAATGTAGATAAATTAGAACCCTCCTACACTACTGGTGGGAATGTAATATGGTTGCAGCTGCTGCAGAAAACACTTTGGTGGCTCCTCAAAAAGTTAAACATAGAATTACCATATTACCCAGTAACCCCACTCCTAAATATATATCCAAAAAACCCTAAAAACTCATATTCAAACAAAACTTGTACACAAATGTTCACAGAAATCGTAGCGGCACTATTCATAATCACCAAAAGGTGAAAATGTCTATCAATTGATGAATGGATAAACAAAATGTAGTATATCTATACAGTGGAATATTACTCAGCCATAAAAAGGAATGAGGTGCTGATATATGCTACAAATGCATGAACCTCAAAAACATGATGCCAAATGAAAGAAGGTAGACACAAATTGTCACCTATGCGTGATTCCATTTGTACAAAATATCCAGAATAGGAAAATTCACTGGGAAAGAAGGTACATTATTGTTCACCAGTGGCTGCAGGGAGGTAAGGACTGGGAAATGACTGCTAATCAGTACCAACTTTCTTTATAGAGTGATGAAAATGTTCTATAATTAGATAATGGTAACAGTTGTACAACACCAAAATGCTAGAAATGACTATTATATTTATTTTTTAAAAATTGGGGCGCCTGGGTGGCTCAGTCGGTTAAGCGTCCGACTTTGGCTCAGGTCATGATCTCACAGTTCGTGAGTTCGAGCCCCATGTCGGGCTCTGTGCTGACAGCTCAGAGCCTGGAGCCTGCTTCACATTCTGTGTCTCCCTCTCTCTCTGCCCCTTCCCTGCTCATGCTGTGTCTCTCTCTGTCTCAAAAATAAATAAACATTAAAAAATTTTTTTTAAATCGTAATAGTACCATTATTGAATATGTTCTTTCTATAAAGCATCATTTTAAGAAAGTTCAAATCCAAGGTCCAACACTTACCAGCTGGATGCCCTTAGACAAGTTAATTAACCTCTCTGTGCCTCAATATTATCTGTGAAATGAGGATAATAGCAGTATCAACCTCGATAGGGTTGCTTTGAGAATTAAATATGTTAATATATAGAAAACAATTCAAATAGTGCTTGCTATACAACAAGAATTAGCTAAGCGTTAGCTATTGTAATCACTTCAACTAATCCTCACAACAACCCCCTGAAGTAGGTATTAATGATTCCCATTTTACAGATGAGAAAAATGAAGGCACAGGAATAAGCAACTCACTAGGTTATCCAGCTAGCAAGTAGCAATCAAAACTAGGATTCTGACACCAGCGTTCTGGCTTCCGGGTCCTTGCTCTCAACTACTGTCAGATTCTACCTCCCATAAATCTGGCATATCAAACCCTTGAAGTCATAGCTATTTTTGCTTAGCATGGGGTTCAATTGGGTATTTAAGGTTTTCAAAATGTGAATCAATTTAGGTAAATACATTAATTAAATACTACCATGGCTGGTACCCAGGTCTGGCAAAACGAGTAAGGGCCACATGAATGAGGTTTAGAAAACACTGGAGTAAACCATGGAAATCTACCATGCGAGAAAACACACCTGAGCTGTTACCAATATACTAGGTAAGCTACTGCACACCATAATTAAAACATATATGGATCTCTTGTATAATAACTCATCCCAGGCCAAAATTATTCACCAGGTATCTAGCCCAAAGAGAGGGAGGCCAGCAGAACTCAGCAAGAGCAAGCCTGAGGAAGAAATATCGAAATATCTTGATTAAAGTCAGAGAGGGGCTGTGGAGTTGTCATCCCTTGACCTCTTTTGGAAAATGAATTGGTCAGTCAACCATCTTATCAGCTGGTTTCCCACCTGCCATCTCTGGGAATGTGAGGCAGGGGAATTTCTCCATTAGTCACAGTAATCATGATATCCACGGCCCACCACCCTTTTAGGAACCTAGGAAAATGCTTTAACTTCTTTTGAAATCAAAAGAAAAAATTAATGTAACCCAAGCCAAATTATATTTATCTTTCTACCAATATAGTTGTAAAGTATCATCTTAAAAAATTTTATGGAGAAGGGGTGCCTGAGGTTAGGCTTTGGACTCTTGATTTCCACTCAGGTCATTATCTCACTGCTCCTGAGATCAACCCCCCCCCCACACACACACACACCCCTGTAGGGATCAGATATGACAATGCAGAGCCTGCTTGGCATTCTCTCTCTCTCTCTCTCTCTCTCTCTCTATTTTTCTGTCCCTCCTCCCCTCACAAAATAAATAAATAAACATTTAAAAAAATTTATGGAGGAAGGTGCCAAAGAAGGCAAAAATGCCTAGGGTCCACAAAAGTCCTAATGTAGCCCTGACATGAGGGCAGATCATCTCACCTCTACCTCCTGTGTCTTCAAAGAACCAGCTCAGTCGGTTAAGCATCCAACTCTTGATTTCAGCTCAGGTCATGACCTCTAGGTTCATAAGTTCTAGCCTGCATTGGGCTCCATGCTGACAGCAGGTAGCCTGCTTGGGATTCTCTCTCTCTCTCTCTCTCTCTCTCTC